AGTAAAAGAATATCTCTACCCCATTGGAGTTTGTTTTAGTCAAAGGATACAAGAAAAATGCAATTGAAAGAGAATAGGCTATATGGTGGCTGGCAGAGCCTACGTATTACTTAACATTTGCTTCACTGTCAAGTAAACTGAGGTCTAAAAGACTAACAGGCTGGATAGAGTGGAATGAATGTGGTTAGGCCTCAGCTCTCGGGCTGGCATGGCATTTCCTTCTTTTTCTGTGAGATAGTACTTATCCAAGTTTAAGCTATGTGGTACAACTGTAAAATCCAAGTAAGGCGAAGGAGGAAAAATGGGGGGCTTTACGTCATGAGAGAAGAGTAAAAGGGGAGTGCAGATGGAGTGAGGCATGGACAGCAAGTGCAGGAAGCAGAATGATCCAACCAGTGAGAACCAAACATGGGCTATGTGCTTGGGAGAGAGACAAACCCAGTCTGCTGATTGGAAAGGTCTGAACTGGGCAGTGTAAGGAAACTAGGTTTGAAAGACTGGAAAGTGTGGAAGAGGAACTTGGATTTCATGTGGTAGGCCATAAGGAACTCTTGCCATTCCTTGAGCATGAACTCATCCAATGAAAGTGGAAGTAAGAGGACAGTTTGTTCACTGGGAAAGTTGGATGGTATCTGCATTTTTCTTTTCTTATACCCATGCATAGGTGTTGTTTTGTTTTGTTTTTTGTTTCCAAGTTGATTAAACACTGTATTAATCTGAATAAGCTAGCCTATGTGGTGTCCACAAATGTAGCCTGATCCCAGTGACTGAGTACATACATGTGTTTCTAGTTTGTGCTCCTTGGCCAACACAAGTAGGTGGGGCCTTGGTGTGGTTCTGCTCTTGTTCAAAGACCAGCCTGGCAAAGGTGCCACCTTTGGGAAGGTCTCTGCTTTCTACCACTTTAGCCTGGAAGTAAAGTGCCCCGCCCCAAACTTGTTGGCTGGAAGTAGTCACACAGAACTGGGCTGGGGGAGGGAATATATAATTTTACTTGTTCAGTAGAGAAAAATATGGTGATTGAGAGTGAAGACTCCGGAGCTGGAGTCGGATTGCCAGAGTGTGATGAGCCTCCCAGAACTATTGTGAAGCTTAAAGGAACTTACCTGTGTAAAGTGCTTACAGCATTTTGGTGTGTGATTGTTAGCAAGTATTATAGTTGTTCTGTTAAAGTGCTAGCTTTCTGGACAGCATCCTAAAGGAAGGCTAAAGTGTCTGACTCTAGTTGAGAGACCCAGAGGGGAGGCCATGGTAGTAGTTCACATATGTGAGGGCTGGAAGACTAGAGTATTGATGTTGGGCAAAGAAAAGATGAACAAAAAGTGGCAGAGGAGAAGACCCTCACCAGGATTTTATCACTGACTCACTCCAGTAAACGGGAGGAGAAGGTGTAATGAGAATGATGAGTTTGTTTGCAGAGAAGTTCGGGGACCCTGCGGGGAAGGGAGCTGAGGTTTGGATGTGGGACAGGGAGAGTGGAGGCGCAGGGGACAACTCTGAGTCAGGCTGCAGTCTAGGCCAGAAGGTTCTGGGTTCAGTCTCAGCTCCCCTGCACCCTTTGGCTTTGTGTCTGGTTTTCTCATCAGTATGGTGGGGATCATGAGAATCCAACTGTTTAGGCCGTGACTCAGCAAGACAAAACCTGCACGGTGTTTGGAATATGGAGTGTAGGACAGGATGAGTAACGTTCGTCCTTACTTATTAAGACCTTTCATGCATAGAAACACGGGCTTTCCTTCTGAGCTATATAGGCTTCCCAAGTGTGAGGTAAGACCTCTGTCAGCAGTGGTTCTGGTGAGCACTTTGCAGTCTTCCTTGGGTTCAGAGAGTGGCTTCAACCCACAGCAATTTAACCCATGTACCTCTCGTTTCTCATTCTTCATCTGATAGCTAATGAGCAATGTTTTTAAGCTTTCAGAGGGTAACAATTGCAGTGAGCTAAAAAGGAACCAAAATAGACGTTGTGAGGGCCAATTAGAGCAGTGCTGCTCCTTTCACATTTGCGTGCTACCTTTTACTGGATGTCAGGAGCATCTTGAAATATGAAATTATTTCCAAGTCAAAATTTCTGTATCTAGTTTTGTCATTGACTTATTGATTACACTTGATCTTAGCCAAAAGGCCAAGAAGCAATGATTTGTTGATTAATCAGCTCCATTCTTAATGTATCTAGTTTAAATTTTAGGGTCTTCTAGGGCACATTTTTGTATAACTGTCTTCAGATATACAAGAGCTCTAGTATTTGTGGCATTTCTTTTCATTTCATTGAGAAATAACAACTTCACAGGTATTTCAGCAAGACTTTAGAATATTGCTAGGAGTTGTTCAGAAATGTGCTATTGAGTTAAATGACTATTTGAGACCTTTCTAGGGGCCAGGCGCTGGGCCACGTTCTGTGTATGAGACAGGCGAGGTCTTCGTCTTCCTGGGGCCCAGATTATAATCTGTCAATTGTTGATTTATTGGTCTTATTTATTTTGTTATTTTTTGGTCTTATTTAAAGATTGTGTAGTCAGCTGTTGTAAAATGACACTGTTCAGCCTTTTCACACCCTTTCATGGGCTTCTTTATGGCAAGGGTACAGAGTTAGGACTACTTTGCTGGTTCTGCCTCTAGTTGACCAGCTGCCTTTTGTGGACTCAGTGTGGGTGGTCCTATCTGCTCATTCTGTTCATGGAGCTGTGACAATGATGACATTATACAATGGGTGGACTATTCTGTAAGTTTTTAACCTCTTCAAATGTACCTGATACCGTTTCTAACATTTGACATTTACTATTCCATACTATCACTGAATAGTCAATGCATTTAGTGGATTTATTATTGTTTTTTATTATTTTATTTTATTTTATTTTTTTCACATCTTTTAAGTTTTTATTATTGTTTTTTAAGCTCTGGCAGGTTTTATTAATGAAAATTTCTGCTTGGTTTATTTTTCACCAGTCTATTCTGACATGCTTCTAATGATATGGTCAATGATTGCCAATGTGCATATTCTAGTATTTTCCACATGCTTTACCCAGTTCAATATTATTGCCAACTGTGGTGGTGGATACCAGTTTTGGCCAACATGGCATAGTACTGTATTTGAGTTTTCCTTTAGTTGTTGGCAAGGATGACCAATTTCGCTTTGCCCTGTCTGATCATCTTCAGTGTCTGCTTTTCTACTTTTCATAACAAGTTGGAGCCTAGATTTGATTGACTCTAAAGATTTTTTCATCTTCTTTGCGGCCACCATCTTCCTGCCTTAGGTGTGGGTGGCCCTCAGCCAGGAGCAGCCCCATTTATTAGATTTAAATGAATAGTTAAAAGGCTTTAAAAGTAACTAAATAATCTTTGTAGAAATAAAAATGGTATTATAAAAGAAAGAATATGGTTATCCACCTTAGTATCTGTCTGTTTTCTCAGATAAGTTGTTCTAGCTCACTGGTATTACTTAACTTTTTATATCACCAGGTTTGTGCTGGAAATCTTTCAGGATTGTGATTTTCCAACTGTGTTTATACATGATTACTTCTTTGTTCTGTCACAGGGTACAAAGTCATTTAGCACTGCCCTTGTACTCCCAAGTTTACCTGCTGATGAAAGGAACATGACAGAAATAAAAGCAAAGCCCAGGGTCACCAGTAGGCAGTGAGGTTGCAAGGTTAGCTGATGGCTGAGTTTCACTGGATAAGAGGCTTTAAAAAAACAATTAGCTATAGTCAGAGATAGGTTTAGAGTTTACTTTTTGTTACTGTGCTGTTGATGCTTAGGTAGAGTCATTCATATATGAATGGCGCACAGATTTGTGGTAAAGTGGGGCGAAGGGATGGTAAACCTCACAGGCAAAAGGACAAGCAACAGATGCCTGTAGAAACTGCTACAGGAATTTACTTTCTTATTTAAAAGACCCTCAGGATTATCACCCTATCATTTACCTTAAGGCACTTTATTGGCTTATATATGACAGTCATAAAATTTGTTTACTATGAAGAAGCTCTGAAAGTAAGGGACCTTTGTTTCTAGTTTGTCTTTCGTGTCCCTCACCATGGTTTCTGGTTAGAGATGGTGAATCAGATGACCACCTGAGAGCCACCTTGCACAAACTGTAGTGTCCACCCTTCCTTCAGTTCCCTTGGACAGCCAATAGGTGGAGCAAGGGAATAGTGCACAGATCCTGACCTCCATCCGGTTTCGCCTGATTCCTGAAGATACTACAAAGACCAGGTCTGTTTTTGTTAGTGGCCAAAAGGCAGGAGGTTCTCTGTGAAATTTAATGCAATGTGTATCTGAAGTATAGTCAGTGAAGTATTGCATCATCCACTAAGATTCATTTCCTTGCAGGGTAAAAAATGAACAAGATAAGAATTTAAGTATTTCCAGAGTCTAAAGCCCCACAAAATGTTAAGGGATGACTCATGATTCAGCATTTTATTTCTTCATCTTCCATCATCAAAATTAGTTTCATAGCAAACTGAGATACTGTATTGGGGAAATTTGGGGGGCCGAGTTAAACAAATTTGAGTTGGCAGACAGATGGACGATACTCGGAAAGGTCACAGAACTTACTCATATTCAGGTATTCATTTGCGCAAGTTGATCACATTGGAAACAGTCCTGAAAACTCTTAATTTATAGTTTTGCATTTTACTTCCTGTCTTACTTAGGCAAGTAACAACTGTATCTCCTGTGGCTGCACTACCCCCACCCAGACCTCTCTCATAATCTAAACTACAGAAGTACAGACACAAGGTACTAGTAACCTGGGAGTGAAAAGAAATGATCGCTTAGCAACCTGAGGAAAACTAAGTGTACATGCATGTCTTCACTCCCAAGAAGAGTTCGCCTAGTAGATACTGCCGCATAAAATCCTGAACTGTGGCCTTTAAATCCTAGGCTGGCTTTTTGGAGGGACAAACTTGATGCTTTCATTGCCTCAGACACCACCCACATTTACATCATTGTTATTAAAATCTTTCTTGCTAATTATATTCCCCATAACTTCTGCTTTTGCTAGTAGTGAACATCGACAGACGAACTCATAACTTCATGGCATCCTACTCTTTATTCCAAAAGTGTTCAGTGAAATAGTTATGACTCAGAACAAAACAAAACAAAGCAAAATGTTACTGAGAGGTAAAATCTAAAATACAAAAGATAATAGATTTAAGAAATACATTACCAAAAATACTGTACAGTATTAACATTTTTACACTAACCAGTCTTTTCTCCTGTGCCAAACTATTGACAGGAAATGATTGAGTTTTTATTAGCTCAAACCTTTCCTTTTATGTTGAGTTATTAAGACAGCTTCCTAGCTAGACATGGCAGAACAGCACTGTAATCCCAGCACTCAGAGAGGCCAAGGCAGAAGGATCACCTGACATAGGTGACTTAGCGAAACTCTGACTCAAAATTTGAGAAAATAAAAATAAAAAAGGATGAGGGCATGTAGCTCAGTGCAAGGCCCTGGGTTCAGTCACCAGTACCACTAAAAAAGAAAGAAAAGAAAAAGGCCTTCCTGGTTGATATATTATTTATGAATTAGAACTTGTGTTGTGTTCTCTCAGGCTGACATATCACTCAGTTTACTTCCACTTTCACCACAGGAAATAGTGTCCAGTGAAACGAACTAAAAGGAATCCCAGTCAGAAGTTGAGTGATCATTTGCCTTAGAAGTCCTAGCAGAGTTGGTCATCCCGTTCACTTTGGGTCCCAGACAGTCCTTGTTACTTTCCATTTGAAGTCTTGGAATGTATCATCATCTGGGACTCTGTCATCTCACGTGAGTTTTCTTCGGGGGCTGACCTCACCGCACTGGAAAGCGATACACTGACTTGACGTTTCAACATCTTCATGACCTTCCTCTTGTACCCTTTACATGCAAAGAAATATATAAAAGGGTCCATGCAGCAGTTGAAGTTCATCAGGCATACTGTAAAGTGCAGAGCAAGCTGGAATGAGTATTTTTGGCTGCATTCTAAGGCATCATGAAAGTGAAGCTTCTTAATCATGTGTTGAATAATTGCAACATGGTAAGGCGTGAAGCAGAGAACAAATACGACAATGATGAAAATAATTGTGTTGAGGGCCTTTTTGTTTACACCTGATTTCTCACTTAGAGGGTTTTGTTTGGCAGTTCTAAAGAGTTTGCAACAGATCTGAGAATAGCAAATGAGAATGATGACGAGTGGAAGCACATACCCTATGAGACACGCACCGAGCAGAATCCAGGGTAGTGACTCTATGTTTTCAAAGTTTGGATATTCCATGCATGTAGTCCTTTCCGTCTCCTGCTTAGACATGGGGTTAATGAGCAGTGGGAGTGTCTGAGCGAATACTAGGAGCCAGACCAATATGCAAACCCCTTTTGCATATTCGACTCTTTTCATCTTGTTATAGCGTAGGGGATGCACCACAGCAAAGAAGCGGTCGATGCTCAGGCAGGTCATGAAGTTCACTCCCGCATATGTGTTGATGTAGAACACAAGCGCAGTTATCCTGCACAAGGCGTCGCCCAGTCTCCAGTCAAAGCCCAGGGCATAGTAGGCTATCCGTGTAGGCAAAGCAGTGGTGAAAAGGATGTCAGAAATCACCAAATTCGTTGAATAAAGGGTAGTAGAGTTGATTTTTTTCCTGTTTTGAATGATGACAACCAAGGCCAGCATGTTTCCCACAAGTCCAATGATGAAGACGAGGCTGTAATGCAGAGGCATGAGTATCCTGGCGGTGCTGTGGTGCATGTAGAGGTCGCAGCCATTTCCCTGAGGAGTTGGAGAGGGGGCAGTGAAATTGTTCGCCATTTCGAGATCCAGTGGTGGTGGTCGGAGTCTCTAGGAAAAAACCAAGAAGGGCCTGTTTAATTAAAAATGTACTCCAACCTATATAACCAGTCATTTGTATATCTAGTTCATGTTTGAAAAATTTTTAGAAAGAGAATAAAAAATAATAAAAAGCATTAGAAAGGATATAGAATTTCACCAAAGAAGTTGATAGAAATTCAACAATGGTTGCTATATCGCAAATTGTTGTCTTCAAATTAATTGTTCAGATTACCAGATATAAACATGCAAAATTGGTCAAGAAAAAAAACATAATCATTAACTGTTCCTTTCAGTAGACCATTGGGAATCAGCACTAGTTATCCCAGCTACCCTGTGTATATACATACATATTTCCCCCCTTGTTTCTTTTCTTCTTTCCCTCATCTCAGTTATTCCTTCTCTTTGAGCAGTTTCTTTCCCTTTCACAGTATCTGTTGTACCTTTCCATTTTTATTTACTCTTTCAGGTTCTTTTTTTCTTTCTTTCTTTCTTTCTTTCTTTTTTTTTTTTTTCAGTACCAGGGATCAAACTTGGACCTTGTGCTTTCCAGGCAGGTGCTTATGCCTCTGAGCTATCTCCCCAGCCCACTCTTTTACAGTAGGGAGAAATATGATGTTTATCTAGTTCTTAAATTTTCAATATTTACATATTCTAAAGAAATCTTTGATATGTAATGTGGTTATATATGATAATATGAAGAAGAAGGAATAAAATTTATTTGTCATAATTAGTAGCTTTAGTAAAGCTCTGATAAAGGAAGTATAGCCTTCTAAATAAGGCAAATACATTTTTGTGACAAGAGGGAATGTACCAGCTTTTTAGATCGAAATTCCCCTTCCTTTTTCTAAACCACTGTCTGGTTATAAAGAAAATCAGGTTAGAGGACCCCATATTTTAGATAGGTGTTAGGCTTTGCTCTTAAATTGAATTTCAGTTGGACTTTTTTTTTTTCCCAAATGTGTTATCACTACCAGGAAATGAAATCAGTCACACATTTATGTAGTGAAATATGAGCTTACCACAGTGATCAGATTTGTGTTAACCTAAAAAGTATGAGAAATGAACTTAGGCCTTGTTAGGAACTGAAAGTTAGGTTTTCTTTTTAGAAAAAGAAGAAGACTGTGACAACCACAACCAAAACGTCAAAAAAAAATAGAAATAAGAGAGGAAAACACTTAAGTTACTAAACAGGAAAACTTTTAAAGTAATTGTGAGCTAGATGAGCTCACGAGTGGACGTGTGAGTGCACATTGCACGTGGAGGCAAGCATCACTTGGGGGTTTTTCATTCTGCTTGATCTGCTGGATAGCCTTATGTCATGGTACTCTTTGTGTTTGTATGTCTAGATTTTATACAGACGTGATACAATTCTACCTTTGATAGTATTTCAATGTGTTAATGGCTAATAATGCTGTTCTCCCTTGGTGTAATTTTGGATTATTGCCAATTCTTACAGCTAATGTTGATAGAAATTTCCAGAAACTAAAAATTTAGACAGTAAAGAGCAACATAGAGTAAACTTTGATGAAAGTAGGAAGAGCAGAGCAATAAACCCTGCGTGATTATTTTTAGAAGAAAAATTATTTCATTTGTGGGACTTTGTAAAATCTTACATGGAAGTCACCAAAATTAAGAGAAATTTCTAATGTACTTAGTGATGCTGCTGCTACACAGTAGGCACTTAGGAGGACTCACAGGGCTGTCAGGATACTCCGAAGGTGCAGGTGTGGACTGCATCCAGTGTAGGTGGGCAGACCCGTACAGAAAGTGAGCTTGATCTACAGGGAAGAGGACAGACGTGGAAACAGAGCAGTTTCTTATTCAAGATCAAACCAGAATGGAAACTGGTATGGGGGTGGGGGAGGATGTTTAGTAGAAAACACAGAATAAGATGGTAGGAATCCCAACAGATTTACGTTAATTTAAACTTGTCTGATAAAAGATAGAGACTGTCCATTTGGAAATACAACTGTCTGCTGCCTAGAAGAGAATATAATTTAAAGTGATTCAAAAGGTTAGAAATAAAAGCATGGGAAAACACGAACCAGTCAAATCCTAACCAGTGCAAATCTGGAGTAGTGATCTTAATATCAGAAAAAGTATAATTCAAGGCGAATATCATTGAGAATAAAGATCACTGTAAGAGTTAAGAACAGAAAACACAATTATGAAATATTCATGTACCAGGAAAATTTGACAGAATTGAAAGAAGAAATTGGCAGATGCACAGTTATAATGGAAGACCTTCTGGATTCCTGTTAGCATATGCTAGAAAAGAGACTCAAGACTTTGAAGATTTACCCAACATGATGGGAAAGCTAATAGGATTTGTGCCAAAGGCACGTGGACACATCTGAAACTCGACCAGGCTCTAGAGCATCAGAGGTGTCTTGAAACCTTCAGAAAATTATTGAACAGACCATATTGCCTGACTGCAGTGCAATTAAATTAGAAAACAACAATAAAATGTAAAAGATAACTTTGAAACTAAAACGTATATTCCCAAGGAATTTTGGGGTTAGGGAAGAAGCCTCTGAAATGCTTAGAACTGAATGACAAAAATAATTCTTGCTCAAATTGTGCACTGCAGCTAAGGAATTAATCCAGGAGAACACAATGTCTCGAGTGCATTTATTAAGATTGAGACTGGGTAGATTAAATATATAGCTCAAGAAGCTGAAAAAGAGCGGAGTTTATCCAAAGAAAATAATGAAGACAGTTGCTGAAGTTAGTGAAATGCAAAACAACAAATTATAAATATGGATTTTATATTTTGTGCAGAAAAAAATGAAGTGGTCCTTAAATACAAGTCATGGGAATGGCATTGTGGAATAAAAGTGGGGGGAAAACTGTTTATTTGTAGAACGCTTCCTGTGAGAAGCAGCTGTTTAGTCACTAAGACTGGGCCCAAGGGAGAAGTAAAGATTCCAGGCAAGGATGCCACTGAGCATCTGGCGTCAAGAACTTCTTTTAATTTTCTAATATCTGAGAAAATGGATTTTTCTTAAAAACTCAACTTAGAAAAGCAGATTCATAGGAAATTACTCTTTAAAACACACACACACACACACACAACTTGAGTGTGCAGTTGGAGAGTCCTCTGTATGGTGATTCTGATTGCAGCTATTGGGAAAGGCACACGCACGTGAGACTCTGAGGAGGAGGAGGTGCCACTGTGACAGCTTGTAAGTGACACCTAATGCTTCCTGGAGTGAGCTGGAGCATTGGTAGAGCGGGAAATGGCAAGGGTTTCAGAACAGTGAAAGTTCAGTGATACTTGACAGTGTTCATTACAAAAATGAGTTTGCAAACTATCCAGATGCTTTTCATTAGGACAATATCATACAATGGGATATGCATTATGCAGCCCCTGAAAGTGGCAGTAGAGGAGCCTGCTTCTTGACAGGGAGTTATGTTAAGGACAGCAAACATGTAACACTGCTTTTTTTTTTTTTTTTAGATGGTTGTACTGGGAATTAAACACAGGGTCTTCACACTGAGCTGCATCCCAGCCTTGTTTTTGTTTTTTTCAATTGAGATAGGATCTTGCCAAAGTGCCCAAGATGGCCACAAACTTGCAGCGCTCCTGCCTCCGCCTCCCAGAGTGCTGGGATTGTGCAGTAACTTGCTGCTTTTCCTGGTGACAGCAAATACACATCATATGCGGAGAAGGGTGTCTCATGTCAACCCTGCACAGTGTTGTACAGGTACCTTGAGGGCTTTATCCATACAGTCTAAATTTTAATGCTGAACATGAATGAACTGAAATGGATAAGTAGGTAATTAAATTTTTAATCTAAGATAAAAATATTTTTATTTAGTTCTTTTTACAAAAACCTGGTCATCTGACGTATGTTTCAGAGCTTCCCTCTAATGCTCTTTTTTCACATGTATGCATCAGCCTCCTAGGAGCCCTATAAGTCATGTCCTGTAAAAACACTCAGCAACCTGCTCAGGATGGCTTGTGCTTTCCAAGTGAGGAGCCTGGGGTCCTTCCATGCTGAGTCGTTTTCTGTGATGCCTGTCCAGGCCTCTGCAGGAGAAGCTGCCTCAGGAAGCCAATGAAGAACTGAGAGTTTGCAGACAGCTTGGTCACAATGTGGCTACTCTTCCCAGGAGTCTTAGTTTTCTTGTTGCTAAGACAAAATACCCAATGCCCAAGGTTAGGGGAGGAGAGGTTTTTTTAGCTCACAGTGTGTAGAGGTTTCAGCCCATCATGGGCTGGCCCCGAGGTGGCTTGGCAGATGGGAGCAGTTCATGGTGGGCAGAAGGTTGCAAAGCAGCTAGCTGCAGACAAGCTTCTTCCTGTCCCTTATATTGTATCCAGTCTATCGGGACTAGGGCAGTGCCGGTCCAATCAGTGAACTGATGTAGTAACCCACCTGTAATCCTAGCACTGCACCATGAATCAGTCACACATTCTAGTACAGCCACTTCTGAAAAAGCCCCACTTACAGCCCCATGAGGCCTTGGGGGGACATCTAGGCACAAGCCATGACACTAGGGAAAGGGACCACTCTGGGAAGCACATTCCCCAGGGAATCCTGTCCAGGGCCTTTCACTGAACACTGCTGCGCCGAAGGCAGCTGAGGAAGCACTCACAGGATGCAGACAGGAAGTGGGATCCATCACAAAGGGTCTTAGGTATAGATGACTGGAGGAGGTGCTGAAAGAAGTGTTTTGTGGAGATTTAGCAGTGCCGTCTCCCCCAGAATTGATCCCACAGGGGCCACTTAGTTCTTATTTCCTGTGTTATTAATACAGTCCTACAGTTTTCGTCAGTATTATTCTCAGGTTGAGGGAAAAATCCTTTTGTGCCCTTACCTGTCACCTGTTCTATCAACATATTCCAATCTATTATAATCTTCCCTTGGAGATGCTACTTTATGCTTTCCTTTAGTCAGTTTAGGGACTGTTTTCCTGAAACTTGAGCAGTGCTTTTAGGACATCCTGTGCTATGTCCTAGGAGCACAGAAATGACCCTGTTGTCTGAGAGGGGCCAGGACTGA